CACGTTGTTGCAACCTCTGCCCTGGCGGTTTAGAGATTGCGGGGAGGATACATTCATTACGACCGCGCTCGCATGGCTCTTTGTTGCATTTTCGGCAATTTGGACCTTGCCTCTTACTTGGGTCCAAACCCCAAACCGTAGTCCCTGACCATTTAGAGTTTGGCAGAATGCCTGACAAGCCAAGAATCCATTCGAGCTTGAGGTCCCGAATCTACAGATTTAAATGGATTTTGATGCCAACAGCCCCATTAATTTTCCGCTCTTGGGAAGCGTTCTGCATAGACGTCTTTAAGTCCAGAGGTGGATGATGAGGCGGAGGTGCAAGCAGACCGAGATCAACAGATTCTGCAAGAGGCTGGCTGGCAACTTCACAGTCATGACAGTGCCATGCAGGTCTGAACAAGTAGAGTCAATTCTTCCGATAAATTCCACAAGCGCTATGAGGGCAACGGTTTTGCGAAATCTTTACGCTTCCGCATTGACATGAACCACCGTCGCCACCGACGAAAGTAGCATCATCGCTGCCACAGATGTTGGCCCGCCTGCCAGCTACACTCGTGACAGATCAACATTTTTCCCTGTGAAAGCTATTGCGCTGGGTCCCTGAATGCGGCTCAAGTAACGGCACCACTTCTGATTCTACACCATTTGCCCACCAGATCCCCCCAGACTTGTTTCTAACATAGGAAAGGGAAGCGGCTCATAAACAGTTTTTGAGTGGGCTGTTTTATGGTGCGGTCATTTTGGTTGTTTTGGACCTGTCCGGTCCCACGTAAAGTTATCTCGGCTTCACAGCAACCAGACGTGACAAGGCGTCGTGGGGACCTTTCGAGGCTCTACGGCTGGAATCTGATTCATCGGTTTAGGGTTTTAGGGGTTTAGGGTTAGGGTTTAGGATTTAGGTTAGGGGAACCTTTTTGGGGGTCCCCATAGTTGTAGGACACGAGCTCCTACAATCATACCTTCTTCCGTGGCCGCGCTAGCCTGGGAACGTGCATGTGACACAGTGTTTGCAGTAGCTGTGGGCCGCGGACCCGCATACACGCAATACTACAAAAAATACTGCGTCGATTAATGATTAATGGGTGTATTTCAGGTTATATAGTACATTATAGTATATTGGTGAAGTATTGGGAAATGGAACAGACAATGGAAGCTACTATATTCAAAACTACTGCGGGTGCTGCCCTTAAATTCTTGAGGAAGTCCTCCCCCTACTCTCCTCAGCCAGGGGTGGGGCTCCTGTCAGCATTTGCAGGGATGATCCCTCAACCCCCAAGCCCCAAACTCCCTACACTAATCCTTCCCCCTAGTATTCAACACCCCCACCCACCCCTAATATTAAATACTCTCAATACATATATATATATAACACATTATGGTAGTACTTAATTTTAGGGAGGGTGGGGGGTTCAACCTTAAGGGGAGGGGATTAGACCCTAAACCCTAAACCCCAAGCTCCCTAACTCAGCCCTAAAGGCCTGCTTGCCTGTCTCTGGTGCTCCGATGCCACCCAGCGAAGGTCCGCCCAAGGACCTGATGCAAAAAACAAATGTTCAGAGCAAACAGTCAGGCGCTGGTTCAAGGGCTTGGGTTTCTCAGGTTTAAGGTTTCGGCTTTGTTCAACGTCCTCTACCGCGGCCATCGCTTGCAGAGACTGGAGACTGTCTGAATGTCTTGGTTCCTGCTCGAATGACCCCCGCTTATCAGCAATGAACCGTCTCTTTCCCGAAAGCAGCCTTCCGTCGATAGCTAAGGGTGTGTAGGCTCACAGTGACCTCTCAACCCTAAACTCTAAACCCTGAACCTTACTTTTTAACAGGACTTTGTAGGGTTCTGCTTTGTGGTGCTTTGCTCACAAGCGACAGATCTTAAGAATGGTCGGTATGGGTCCCTAGCGACCCAAGTGGGGATTAATTCGTTATGAGGGTATCTTGCAAGGGCTAGAGGACAAGGACGATTTTTAAGAAAGAAGAATCATAGAAAAAATGCTAAGAGTAATAGCAAGAATACTAGGAATAGCAATAATCGTAGTATTATGCATGTTCGGGAGCACCAACTCAGCCACACCATCCCACCGTGCAAGGTTGTACATTGTAAGGTACCTTGAGACACAGGACGCGCGATGTTGGAACCTTACAGAATGGCACCTTATCCTCCTTGGAGGACATCATAGCTACGGATCAAGACTTAAGGGTTCACGGATATGGTTTGGGTACTGCCCCCACTTCGCAACAGCTGGAGAATCAGTTATGTGTTTGCCTTCCTGCTACCCCCATTTTCGACTGTTATTGGGTGCGGGCAGCATCCTAGATATGGTAGGTTCCCAAAATCCCAAAAAAAGGCCCCTGAGTTTGGGAGACCCCCATATGGTTGTGTAGGTTTCTGGTGGGTGGGCTACTGATGAGGATGCGGATGAATACCTTCGCCAAGTCCAATGGGAGCGTCTTCGCTGCCCAAAGGCTCTTGGACCTGAAATAAGAAGGGATTGCCTGGTGGCGGTTTTGGATAACTACTACTTGTTCCCCCATTGTGGCATAAGGGAACCTATTCATAAATAATTTTGGGGGCCTTTAAAGTACCACCCAGTTTGAGAGCAACCTCATGATCCCCTGGTAAGCCCTACTAATTGGTTTGGGTCCCTTGGGACCCCTACTTCGAGAGACTCCCTAAACCCTAAACCCTTCACCATCCCTATAGCTAGAATGGAACCCCACAAGCCCAAAGGGCTCTAGAAAGTCTACTTTAAACACGGGACTAGGTTGGTTTTTCAGAAGAACTGGGCTTGGTAGCAGAACAGAAGGTGGATAATCATGATAATATGGACCCCTTACTATTATAGTGAAATACGAATTACGGTCGGATTCTGCCGTAGTAATGTAGAATCTTGAATAATTAGGGGCAGGACAAATTCCCACATTCACTTCCCCACCCTCCAGAAAACTTTTCTTCAGACGACCTCACCAAGCACTATCCCCTTTTTATATGCTTTTGTTCTGGTGGTAGAGGACTGCGGGCTGGACTAGTTCACCCAGGGAGACAGTGAAGAAGTTCTCATAGATGTACGCTCAGCGGCGAAGTCATGCAAAATCTAGTACTCAACATGTACATACCCCAAAGCACGCAACAAAGAGGGTCGGGTTCAGGGGGCGCGGGTTAGGCGAAGGGGAGTTCGATTGAGTTCTTACTATCTTCCCCGGGTACCTGTCACAATGCCGGTTCGGATTCGGTCACTTCGTGGGAACTCCTGTTTCGGCTGCCCTTCCCCAACCGGAACCAAAATCACAAAGAAAAACGACACGCTATACATATCTATATATATATACATATATATATATACACATATCTTTTCTGGGCCAGAAATACGTAGCCTGTGACTCATACGAGGTTGTCGACGTCGACGTGAAGGAGAGGGCCTCGAGACGAAGAGCGCCCCGACTGTCGAACGGTCATGTGAGCCATAGTCTAAACTCCTTGACGGGGGTTATATAGGAGATTATATATGGGACTACTATACGGGTTATTAAGGGGGATACTAGGAGTTTAGACTATAGCTCATGTGGTAGTATCCATCAATAGGGTGCCGCAGTATGGACATCGAAATAATTTCTTGATCATTAGTGGCAAGCCTCAGAAAAGGTGCCCCTAATTGTAGGAACCCCCTAAGCTCCCTGATAGACATGGTATTCGGGCTCCCACTATGCAAAAAAGATGTGACCGCGCTGTATGTATGCTCAAATACTTCCAAATTTACGAAGACATCCGAATGGGCGCTCGTTCTGTAAGGTCTAGCACCGCAAGGGTCCAATTTCGTACAGTTGTACAAGGGTTGTGTTACCCAATAATATAATGGAGAACGAAATGGAAAAGTTCAAGCCTTCGGGCATGTGTAGGCTTGCATTTGGGTGATTGCAAGACTTGAAAGCTGATCCAGCTTGCATGAGCAACTAGCATCCGCTGGATTTTCCATATTCTTGTCGGTTTGGTTTTCCATTATCTTACTGGGGGTTAGTAGGGAATAAGGCAAATAATCCCCTATCCCTACATGCTATATTCCTTGACTCCTACTAACTTCCAGTGCATTCTTGCATTATATAACCCCTGCAAGGACTCCTCCTCTGACACAGAACATGTTCTTGTAAATGCAGCAGGGTGCCTACATTAGAAGTACTTACTGGTGCTTGCTAGATTATAATTGGGTATATATTGGAGTTATAAAGGGATAATGGAAAAGAACATGGAAACTACTGTATTTAGATAGGGCTTATATATGCCCTCAATCTTAGACAAGCTAGCTATAGGTCCGTCGATCTGCTTGACAATGACAATGACAATGACACTTCAAGTTAGTTGGGTTAGGGTTTAGGGGCTATGGTTTAGGGGACATAGTCCCCCTTACGTAGATAGAATATGGTTTTGGGTACATTATAATAGATCCCCATAAACCCCATATTCCATCTACTTAAGGGGGACTATAGGGTTTAGGGTTTAGGGGCACTTCTTCCCGCCATGTTCCATTTCTCTGACCTGGGGATGTCTCCACAAGCTTGCAAGCCCAACAGGAAGCTTGGCACATAGTGATGTAAATTCACCATGCCCCTAAACCATAACCCCTACATATCTACATATATATATATATGGTACCCTATAAATATATATATATATACATATACAGGGTAACCCCCCCCTATGGGCTCTAGTTTCGAAAGTCCACGCCAGCGCGACCCGAACTCTCTTGAAGGTGGGTGGGCCTCTGACCGGCAAGGGCGGCACAGGAGTGATGTCCAAAAGTCATGAATTCAGAGGTACATAAACGCACCCTTTCTCTACATGATTCCTGACTCGGACCAAGCCTACTTAAGAGCCCGCTCCATAAAGGCTTTCATAACACCTGGGGAGAATGCCCGGAACGATCCTCTCATGGGCTTTAACGGGTTACGTCTAAACACAACATATGAATACACACCCGTCGACCCCAAACCCTAAGCCTACCCCTGCAGGAGGGCTCCTGGCTCTCTTCCAAGCTCCAGAGATTCCAGCGCGATTTCGGCATTCCGAGGCCTCTCGGCCCCGGAGATTCCTCTGTTTTTGAAAGGTTTAAGAGATTGATGAGGCGATGAGGGATTACTCTAGGGTGTAAGGAATCGAAGTGTAAGATGACTGGCCCGGCACCCCTATATAAGCTCTGAAGGTGGAGACACCACCGTAGACAAAACTCAAGCTGGCCATCCAGCAAGAACTACAAATTCTGCATGATCCTAAGTACCTTATACCTTGGTACTTAGGGCGTCACAAAGTTCATGCAGGATTTGCAACAGTATGTACCTCAGATTCGGTATGCAGCTCGCAGCGTACCTATCCAATGAAACTTGCTGTACAATGCTGAATAGATATCAAGGGCAGGCCCGCTCCTTTGCGCCACATGTGGATTAACCAAATTCTGTGGATTTCCTTCAAGGCTTGTGTGAGGCTGCAGTCTTGCAAATGTCGCCTCTAAAGCGCTCATGTGATAACCCTCTTGACCCGACAGTACTACGCCTTAGCCTGCAGCTCATAGGATCCATGTTGCTGCTCATGGTGTAGCGGAGCAGGATCCGATCCCCCTAAGATGATACAAAGATCAAAGTGAGAATCTGCCACTGGAAGAATCTGACCGCTATGACGGAACGCGGGTCTACTTTGGACCCTATAGGGCAGGAACCGAACTTCGTCCGCATGCGCCGCCCAATAACGTGCCAACCTGGGTCTTGTATTCATGGCACATTCTGTCTGCTGCTATTTCTTGTATGCTACCCTGTTATATCCCTTGAACCCGAATTTTGTCCGGGGCTCATCTTTCATTCAGCTACTGCCTATCCAAACCCTGATGCATTAATCCTCAACCAACATAACCCTACTACCCTATAATCCCAGTTTCCATTTCATTTTCCATTTTCTTTTCCATTTGATTCTCCATTATAGTAGTTTCCATTTTTCCATTATCCCAATATATAAGCTATTTATGACCCGCAGGCCTTCGCCTCTGACGCTTCGGCCTCCTTTCGTCACCTCCGGGGCCAATGTCAGCCGCGCAAGAAGGGCGCGCGGGGGACGCAGTCCCTTACTTACGAGGCACGTGTCTGTGAACAGTGAAGCTGAAAAGAGGGATCGGATTGCAGTAAGAATAGAACCAGAAACAACTCCCCCTAACAACCCACCAACATGATTTAGTAGAATTACGTTTCAGGAGATTTTAAAAAAAGGGGTGGGGAAGTTTGGAAGTAAATTTCCTGGGTCCCTGAGGCGGCCTTAGCACTTTGAGCTTGCACGAATGTGGTATGCCATGCCCCAAAGCCCGGGGTCTGTTTTGGGTGTTTACAGTTGCTCTACTTCAATCCCTTGCCCATGGAACACATCGATCCCTGCGGCCGTGGGATCCATCAATCAATGCTGGAAGCAGAAGTTGCTTGAATGCGTAGGATTATAGTCTCCCTTAAGTAGATAGAATATGGGGTATATGGGGATCTTATTATAATATACCCAAAGCCATATTCTATCTACTTAAGGGGGACTATATGATCATGAGTATGAAATCTCTCATGTGTATTAACATTGAACAGTGGCATCAGAAGAAATTGACCCGATGCCGCTCGCAGCACACCTTGCAAAGCACATTTTCTCAAACTGGAGGTCTCAGACATCATTAGCCACAGGACCCATAGCAGCCTGATATCTTCAGAGCATGTCGAATACCCGGGAGTCTCGCTAAGCCTTCCATCGAAGTCCTTTGCCATCCGTGCATATATATATGTGTATACATCCCTAGGATCCTGAAAGGCAAATTTCTTTTCCGCAGTTTAACATAATCATAGTAATATTAGGGTGATATTGGGGTTACATTGGGATAATGGTAAATAAAATGGAAACTACTATTTAGGGTTTTTGCTAGGGCCGTGCGCACCTTTGTCTGTGGGCGCGCATTGACGCATGCTCGGAGGAATGCTTCAGGTCTCTATTCACGGCAGCATGTACAGCATTAGGTCCTAGTATTCCTCGTCCAGGGTTATTATTCCAGTGGAAAGGGAATTGCCTACGCGTACTGTTTAGGGTTTAGGGTTCAGGGCCCTTTGCTTTACCAGGAGTGGCGGCAGCGTGTCGCCAGCGATCGACCAGATTCTCAACTGTTAGCAGCGCAGGACTTCGTGGGAATCAACCATCTTGTAGTACCTCGGCTGTAGTAGAGGGTATAGATATATAGATATATGTGGGTATATGTATACATATTATATATACATGCATGTAAAGGTATGTAGACATCCCGGGTGGATGCCATACCTGATAACCTGCGGTTTAAATATTAAAGCTGCTACCTAGCTGGACCATTGGGGTTCAGGGCTCTTGGGGTAGCTGGAACATGTCCTCTCTAATCCAACCTACACAAAGGTAGATACAGCGACTCATGAGATCTACCTTTCCTGAACTAACACGGAGCCTACGAAGCCCGCTTTGAAACGGACAGCAGGCGTTGTAATTGGTGCCCCTTTTGGGGTTGCATGGTTATGGCCTCACACTTCATTGCAATCCCTGAAGAGGAGTACTTGTGGGTATAGGCTTATGATCGCTGTTGCTATGGCTATTACAGTTACGGAAAAAAGTCTCGACATTCTTACGATCACGACCGCAATAAGTCTATTTTCTTCGTCTCAATACTAACATTACTGCATGTGTGCTATCAATCCAACCTCACGCCAGCAGTTTCCGAACAGAGCGGTGTGAAAGCCAGTACTGGCGTGCCATCCCATCACCTGCACAATCATCTTGAAGTCTGCCTTAGTTCTTTCTGTGGAGAGCTTACCATGGTCTTGACTTTCTTGCGTTACAGCTGTCCGTATTCCAACTTTGGTAGTTTCCATAAAGAGGAGGGACCCAGATTCCCAATACATGCCATAACACTGAACATAGGTACTCCGAAAAAAACAACAACCTCTAATTTCGGGAAACCCAAGTATGCTTCCCAGTATTTCTGGCCAAGAATCGTAAGCCATGGCAGAGGTGGTGGCCATCGACAAGTTTGAGGCTGATTTCGAGCCGCTCGGCTGCAGGCGTCGACTCCACCCCCTGGAGATCAGGGTTCAGGGATATTGGGTTTAGGGTTTAAGGGTTCGGGGGTATTGGGTGTAGGTAGGGGTTTAGGGGTAAGGGCTCAGGGGTCCTGGGTGTAGGGGTTTAGCGATTGGATTTAGGGCTTGGGGTTCAGGAGTATTGGGTTTAGGGTTAAATGAGCCTAGGCTTCAGGAACATCGGATGGTATGAGGATAGCGATGACTTTGGGTGGTTGTATGCGTCCAGAGCCATGTGTTCGGCTACCCTTATTGGGGTCCCAATAATAAGGATTCTATAGCCTTTTGCTGGGAAACGACCAGTTCTACAAAAACCATCCAACGAGGCCAAAACCATGTCATCAGAGGGAAAGGAAGCGACCCACCAGGAGTGCTAAACTTCTGGTAAACTTCAAGTTTTAGCTTTGGCCATCACACCAGCAGTCTTTGTAAAATTAATTCATAGTGAATTCCTCAATTCAATGGTGGAATTCTGCGTGCAGACGACGTACGTGTAAAAAGTGGTATCCAGGGCAGCCTTGCTGCCATTTGAACGCTCCGGGTGTATTTGCATAAGACTTAGCAGACTCGTAGGGCAACAAGGGAGGCGTACGTCATCTAATCGATGATGTGTCTACTTGACTACATCTGCCACCACAAGGCCCGTGCCAGGACGATCGTTGCTTCTGCTATTGTTACGAGATTGATCGGCAGAGGGCCGCAGGGGTGAGACGGAAGGCAAAGGGGCCTGAGCTTGGCATTGTAGGACTTCGGTCCAGGACGTGAGACCATGAAGCTTCAAGCCATCAACTCCCCAAATCCTTCGAGCCCCACACCCTCCCAAACCTGCCAACTCTCTGTGAACCCTCCAGTAGATGGCGCATCCCCCCAGCCTCGAAATCTGTGTACAGTGTACAAGATGACTAGCCCCCCCCAAAAAAACGGAGTGCTGAGTAGTCAACACCCAACAGAAGTACGCATGCATTTGAGAAGCGCTTGAACCTCATCCCGGCATAATCAATCTCTCTCTCTGTCTCTCTCTCTCTCTCTCTCTCTCTCTCTCTCTCTCTTTCTATACTTATACATATATGTATATAATATACACGTATACCTTAACCCTTCTAAGCCCTAAGCCTCCAACTTTAGGCCCTACTCTCTCTATGAGCGCATGGCAACCATTTAAAAAACACGTCTCTGCAGGTGGGTGAGTATATATACACACATCCACATCTCTCACTCTCACTCTCTCGCTCTCTCTTGCTCGCTCCCTCTCTCCTGAAACCCTCAACCCCGCATCCTAGGACTTTCCGGAAGGCACAGGAGACTGCTGCAGAAGGTTCCGAGTTTCAGAGCAAAGGCCCCCACCGCTGCAGGAGGGTTGGCGGTGCCTCGGCTTTTTGGGAATATAAGAGTGTATATTTTAGGCCTAGCGGCAAGGG